TATAAATTGGAACATTTTTGCAAAACCGGAAGTGCCACAGTTCAACATGTGCAAAAAGTCGAAAATCGGCTCTAGAAGGCGCATTTTTGCATCGATTTTCTTCGGGTTTTCATTTTTACAATCTACCTGTAATTTCTGACCTGATAGCACTTGAAAAATTATGAAATTCGAAAATTCGTCGCTCACTTTTTTCGATCAAATTTTTCGATTTTTTTGCAACTTTTTTGCTTTTGCATCGATTGATCTGAAATTTTAAATGCAAAGAGACTTCACTAATGTTAATAATATGATAGTCAAATTTTGTACGTCATTTCCGATTTTCAACAGGAAAGCGACTGAACTTCAAATCTACTTCCGGTTGAATAACTTCCGGTGTAATTTATGTAGGTCAACAAAATTTGGCTGATCTTTGGCAAATAAAATTTTATGGCCGATTTTAAAATAAAATCCAGACCGCAAGTGATACTTTGGCCGCCATATTGAAAAAACACACTTTTGTAAAACTCAAAATGGGGCCTCAGGGTAAAAGTTGATATGCTCAAATTTGATGTGAATGTATTCTGCAATCGATTGCGCAAAAAACATTGGGAGCCGAATTTTGAATTTCGCTTTTGCTTTTTTGCAACTTCCGGTTGAAATTTTTTAAAGCTTTAAACGATCACACCATGTGATCTTGACCTTTGATGACCTTGACCTTCATAGGGTCAAAGGTCATTGACCATGGCTATCATTTGATACTTTGACCTTTGACCTCCGACATGTACTTCCGGTTTTATAGCTATCCGTAAAAAGCCAAATTCGCAACTTTGGACTGCTCTAGCACGTGACCTACTTAACCTAGAGTGTTAATTTTTTCGGTTTCCTAATGTGCTTCTCATGCCCTTTACATAGATATATAACAATCATTCTTTTAAAGCAAAATTGAAATTCGTGATTTTTTCAAATTTGAGGTTTTTTTTACAATATTTGCGTCCTTTTGATCTTGGTGTATGTATATCTTATGATCTATTTGATGTAGAACCTTGATATTTGGAATACAACTAGACACTTTGAATATGAATTCACCTATGACAAAAAAATTGGGGTGGGCGTGGCACATCCGGGTTGAATTACTAATTGTTTACATTTTGGGGCTGAGGCATAACTCGCAAAGGATACGTTTGTTAAAAAAGGGCCTTTGCACACAATTACCCCATCCTTTTGGCCAGTTTGTGTTAACAGCTCAGTTGTTTCAGCTTTATAGTTCCAAAAAAGGAACGGGTTTTAACATTTGGATATTTTCATTTTTCGATTTTGACCTTTGTTGACATTTGTTGACCTATATCTTTTGACCTGAATAATGTAGAAGCTTGAAATTTAAAACACAACATAACAATTGGAATATCAATTACCCTATGCAAAAAAAATTAAGGTGGGCGTGGCACATCTGGGTTATATTACTCATTATTGATATTTTTGGCCAGGAGCATAACTCGCAAAGTATACGTTTGTTCAAAATGGAACTATGCATACAATTACCACATATTGTGAGCCACTTTGTCTTAGAATTTCGGTTGTTTCCGCTTCTTAGTTCAAAAAAAGGAACAGGTTTTGGAAATTCAAAATTTTCAATTGTTGACCTTGACCTTTGTAGGATCAAACGTCATTGGCATTGGCTATCTATTTGTACTTTCATATTTGCTGTTTTTGATGACGCATATCTCTTGATCTTGACCTTTTTAGACCTTCTCTTTTACAAGATCAAAGGTCATTGACCTTGGCTATCTGCTGATACTTTCATTTGTGAGGTCTGACGTCTACTTCCGGTATTAGATTCTTCTAAAAAATGAAAATTTCTCAACTTTAGACTGTTCTTTCGCTTGATCTAATTATCGTGGAAGGATGATTTTTTCGGGGTCTTTTGCAATTTGCTACATTTGCAAAGTCCCACTCTGTGCCACGAGTGGCTCTAGTTTGTTATTATTTGCGTTGATATTTCTACTTTCCTTTGAACTTCAACTTGAATACAAGGATGGAAAATAATGTGTTATACATGTGGTGTATGCATTTGTCATAAAATCAATATCCCATACAATGAATACCAAAGAAACAAGGGCATTCTTCATGTGGTAGAATATCAAAGAATGTGACTATCGATTTTATACTTATACTTCAAGTGCTCTTCCTTTTGAAGGAGTATATATTACTGCTGTTTATAGCAGCTTATAGATTTACGGGCGAAACGAAGCCATGCTCTAAATCTGTAAGTACTATTACTGACCCCTTCTTTCAAATTCAAATACTAGTACCGTAACGTGGACAATCAAATTTAAAAGATTTACAATTCATTCTTACCCTGTGAAATGTCGAACAGTAACTTTTGGTTTCAGTCCAAACAGACTCTTTTCTGTGATATTTTTTTTAATAGTTTTAATAGTTTGTTATCGAAATGTCAATTCTTTTTTTTTTTTTTCGATTTTTACACACCTTCCTGAGCTTAGACTACAATAGTTGCAGCAACCATTCAACATTCACGAACCTTAGATATAGGCGACGATGTGCATAAATATATTTTGGATCTTTTTTGCAAAACCGGAAGTGCCACAGTTCAATATGTGCAAGAATAGATAATCGGCTCTAGAAGTCGTATTTTTCGGTCGATTTTCTTTGGGTTTGCATTTTTGGAATCTACTGTTAAAATCTGAAAGAATAGCAGTTTCAAAATTTCAAAATTCGAAAATTTGTCGCAGACATTTTTTTGCCAAATTTTGCATTTTTTTCATTTTTTTTGCTTTTTGTCTGATTAATCTGAAAAAAATTGAGCCAAGACAGTTTAAGAAAGTAAACAAAATGGTACAGTCAAATTTTCAATTTCACTTCCGGTTTAAACAGGAAATCGATGTTCACTTCCAGTTGAATATCTTCCGGTGTAATTTGTATAGGACAAAAAATTTTATGCTGATAGGTAGACAAAGTTATGACAAAAAAACGAAGAAAAAAAAATCCGGAACAGACGTGAAACTTTGGCCGCCATTTTGATTTTTCTGAAATGATTCGATTTTTATTCGGACATAATGGCTCATCCGATTTAAATGATTTGGAGTCAAATAAAGAAGAT